GGGGTCGCTTCTTCGTTTATTTGTTTGCATGACGTATGCAGTGTTTGTTTTTTCCGAGAATAGCTGGACTGTATAGATCTAGATCTACATCTAGTTGTTGCTCAGTGCGGTGTCTGTAACTGCGGGAGACAGTGCTCGCCCTGCGCTGTGGCAGAATGACAGAAGTGTTGGAGGAACACCCCCAGCTCATCAAAATCTAGTTTTGACTCGTGATGTTGCGAGTTGCCACTACCTATTTTTGATATAAGAATACTGTTTCGAGACTGCGTGGGCTAAATTGGAATATCTCAGCATTCAGGGTGCGTATGGAAGAAAGTAATGAATTGTTATTTTCCTGTTCAAGAACATTCAATATTCTCAACATAAATTGCTAGACATAAAATACACCAGTGAGCTATAAAACTTTGACTTGTCGCTTGCTATAATTAACCTGTTGTTAATCTTCCACTTTTTATATTTTCGTAACAAGGTGGACTTCCGCTAACATTGTTTACTGTTGCTAGGGTTTGACCCACAGTGAGAAAGAAGTCGGATTTTCATTGGTTAGGGTTTTGGAGTTGACCAATCAGAGTCCTTGTCACAATATCAACTGGTTAACTAGCTCCTTGTGTTGAATGGAGATAGTGAACATCAACTCGTCTGTATTTTCAAGTATAAGATGGTGTTGATAAACGTAAGTAAATCGACGTTTTGTAGTTCATAAAATAACTAGCTTGTATATCTTACCGTTCAGATGTGTATTTGAGTCTAGAGTCTGCTAGTTAACACAAATGCAGGTTTTATTTCCTACTTTAGACTTACGTTAGATCTCTACTTTTCTGACTGTACACGCACTGGCTTGGCTTGTCGGACACCTGCCAAGGTTCTGATCTTCCTTACGTAAAAAGGTGGCTCGCTGGTGTATTTCGAAGCACGGTTATTTTATGTCTAGGGTGGCTCTTCAGAAAAAGTGTAGATCATGAGTACCAATAATAACCCTACCCAATTTGTCCATGGAAGAGGCTAGCCGTACTTAA